CAGAAATAGCCAAAAGAGGAGTAGAAGGTGCCTATAGTGACAACCCCATAATTCGACATGCTTCTATTGCCAATAAGTGGAAAACCATCCACCTCATAATGCACGGTGGAATGAATGCAACTACAATACATTTTAACATCACATTTCAAAACACAAATGATGAAGAGTTCAAAATCCAGCTAACAGTAGATGTGGATACAAGGGAGGGACCCAAGGTGAATGCTACAACCCAGAAGTCTTATGAAAATTTGGATAGCCCCATAACACTTCTTCCAGAGGCAGAAATCCTTTTTGAGGATATTCCTGAAGAAAAACGCTTCCCAAAGGTCAAGAGACATGATGTTAACACAACAGGAAGATTCCAAGAGGAGGTGAAAGTTCCCTTGGTAAATATTTCACTCCTCCCAAAAGAGGCCCAATTGAGTCTCAGCAACTTAGACTTGCAGCTGGAACAAGGAGACATCACTTTGAAAGGATACAATTTGTCCAAAATAGCCTTGCTGAGATCATTTCTGGTGAACTTACAGGATGATAAAGTAAAAAATCAAGCTACTATAACAGATGAAATAAATGACAGTTTGGAGGTCCCAACAGAAAAACTGGCTCATGAAAGCCTAGGAAGATTACACAGGTCGACTTTTCCATCAGGGACAGTAAAAATGAACTACCAGGGTCAGAACCCACCACTGCTCTTAGAGACCAAAGCAAGATTTAAATTGGAAACTCAGACCCCAAATGGGAATGTGTCTAAAGGAAAGCTTTCATCTCTGATTATTCCACTGAAAATCCATGTGACAAAAGAAAAGGAAATCACAGGAAAAGAAGAAGAGCAAAACAGAATGGAGGAAGATGCTAAAGATCACCTAGATGTTAATGAGGTTTTACCTGGAAGAAAGCTGCAGCATTTCATAGGAACTCATCTGGGCTTTTTGCCTTGGGAGAAAAAAAAGTATTTCCAAGATCTTCTTGATGTAAGTTAGATCCGGCATTATTCTTCATCTTTCTCAGGAAGAATAAATAACTTTGTAAGTGATAATATAATAATAGCTACATTTATTTAATACTTCCCTGTGCATCCACTAAGCTAAGTGTTTTTCTTACATGATTTCATTTAATTTTCCCAGAAACTGTTTTTTTATAGAACTGCCATATAAGGGTATTTATTATTGTTACTCCCATTTTACAGTTTTGGAAACAGTAATAGTATGAGTAAGGAATTTAGCAAGAAACATACCCTGAGGAAGTAGAACAGAGTGGCATCTTATCTTTACTTAGCATGGCAGAGCTGATGTTTTTCTAGTTTTACTGAAAGAAAAACCTGAGTTTCAGATAAGTTAGCTTTGCCAATATCACAGCAGGAAGTCAGTGTGAGCCAAAACTAAAAGTTGGAGTGTTCTTCCCTTGTGCCATAGCTTCCGGCTGTAGCATCCTTTATTCATCTCCCAGGTGCCATCCCAGTGCTCAGTGCTGGGGAGTACAAGATGACTAGTACATAGTTGCTACCTATGGAAACTTGGAGAGCAGTAGGAATGACAGATTTGTGAGCAGACAGTTGCAGCAATGAGATTAAGTATCTCAGTTGAGATCCAGGTAAGGAGTCTAAAGGGAGAGCTTAGCTCTGCCTAAGGTATGGGGGCAGCATCCAGGAGGAGTACCCTCCCCCCCACTAGGAGTTGACAGACCATGAGAAGTCACATGATCCAGTATGGGAAGGGAAGAGGCAGAGCCACAAGTGCCTGATGAAGGGGGAACTTGTGTCTCATTCTCTCAGTGTTTTCAGGAAGTATCTTATTTTCTGTTAGGCATTTACTGATCATTGAGTGAAGGGCTGCCTAGTTCTTGCCTATGTTTAATTTTCACACTTTTCTCTCTTTCTTTTTTTAAAAATAAAAAATAAAAGATTTACAAAAGCACTACTATAGACTAGTGATAAAAATTGCAAGCAGTGCAAAAATATAACATTAAAAAGGGTGGAGGGTGCTCGTTCCTCAGTCTGTGCCCTTGAGACAGCTATTCTTCATAGTTTGATGGGTATTCTTCTAAGGTTTTTCTGTAGGTGTGCAAACATACAAGCTATATCGTTTCTGTTTTGCAGCAGTAAAATTACACTGTAAATACAGTTCCCTGGAGTTGCCTTTTGATTGAAAATATGCTGGCAAACTATGCCTGTCACTGCCATTGTTTGTTTTAATGGCTGTAAATTATTTCCAACGTTTTGCAATGAATATACTTGTACATGTATATCTTACACTTAGCAGTTCAACCTACAGAAATAAAAATTTACTAATGTAGGTAGAATTGCTAGGTTAATGTATCTGGTTTCTTATAAACTTTAAATATATCCCAAAATATTGCTCCACTTCACACTGGAACAAGCAGCATACTGGAGTATTTGTTGCTCCACAGGCTAACCAACACCAGGTATTGTCAATTTCTTTACTGGATTTTTTTCAGTCTGGGAGGCAAAAATATTTCCTCTTCTGTAATGTGTCTTTGAATTCCTTGCCAATTTTCTTTGCCCATTTAATTCTGCTTCTTATTGATTTTGATTTTATAATCTTAAACATTGTTATAAGTGAAAGCAAATTTGTTTCTAGTCCTTATGTTTAAAACTCAGTTATTTGATGCTTTGAGATCACCAGCACAAAATAGCTTGATATTGAAAGTATTGCCAAATTTATATGTAAATAAATTTTCTTAATGTTGCATGAATTGGCTTCAAAATCTTATGATCAATGACTAGTCCTTCAGGAACACCCTATAAACAGACCTCTCACGTAACTGTTGTTCTCAAGCCAATGTTGGGAATTTCAATGCCTTTATTACTTGGTAAGAAGGTACACTTAGCACTGAGTATAACCCTGAGTTATATGGAATTCTCCTTCAGGAAGAAGAGTCATTGAAGACACAATTGGCATACTTTACTGATAGCAAACATACTGGGAGGCAACTAAAAGATACATTTGCAGATTCACTCCGATATGTAAATAAAATTTTAAACAGCAAGTTTGGATTCACATCTCGGAAAGTCCCTGCACACATGCCTCACATGATTGACCGAATTGTTATGCAAGAACTGCAGGATATGTAAGTCTTACTTGTGTTTGAGTTATTTGCCTATATTTAGAGCTAAAGATACTTGAAATTTGCCTGTTCACTGTGCAAAATTTTTAGCTCTGATATTGTGTGACTGATATTTTTAAGGATATTATCTAGATAAGAAGAAAGGAAAAGATTCTATGTTCACAGATATTAGCTACCATATATATTTTTATAATCCAAAGCTCACTATATGTTATATTTGGACAGGTTCCCTGAAGAATTTGACAAGACCTCGTTTCACAAAGTGCGTCATTCGGAGGACATGCAATTTGCCTTCTCTTATTTTTATTATCTCATGAGTGCAGTTCAGCCACTGAATATATCACAAGTCTTTGATGAAGTTGATACAGACCAATCTGGTGTCCTATCTGACAGAGAAATCCGAACACTGGCTACCAGAATTCATGATCTTCCTTTAAGTTTACAGGTCTTGTATTGTTTTAGTCTAAACTTTGTGACATTTTAAATGGAAATTATAATTCTGATAAGTCTTTTTTTCTGCTCTATATTTTGATTTAATTCAAGTAAAAGTAATTCTTAACATTTAATGAGGGGCTGGGGATGTGGCTCAAGCAGTAGCGCGCTCGCCTGCATGTGTGCAGCCCAGGTTCGATCCTCAGCACCACATACCAACAATGATGTTGTGTCCGCCGAGAACTAAAAAATAAATATTAAAAATTCTCTCTCTCACTCTCTCTTTAAAAAAAAAAATTTAATGAGGATTTTGTAATTTATTGATTTGAGGTGCCAGAATTAAAACCACATTTGAAGTTCATATTTCATGAGATTACTTTCTGTAGGTTTGTATTAGGGATTATCTTCTCCTTATTTGGGGAAGAACTGGAGAGTAGGTACCTTCTATAAGATTCTTGTAACAAATTCATTTAGGGCCTTTAGGCATAGATGACCCATGATCTCAACCAGACTCCTCCATTAGGGCATCCTGTAGCCCAGGAGTAGGAGACTTACTAATGGAGAATTATAAGACATCTCCTGTCATGACCCCTGTACCATCTTGTATAAAATGTGTGCCTCAGGCCAGTATGTTCCACTTGGAGATGAGGATGAAATATTTGTTCTTGCATTCTCATTCTGCTCTTTCTTAGCTTGTCTTTATGCCCAAGAATTAGATTTAAACTGCCTTGTAAGGATAGTATTTAGGTCATTTTTTAATAGAGACTTTTACATGACTTTTGTTTTTTAAATCCTAATCTTGTAATGTATATAACAAGTTTATATTTTTATTTTGCTTTTTTAGGATTTGACAGGTCTTGAACATATGTTAATAAATTGCTCAAAAACACTACCTGCTAATGTCACTCAGCTAAACCACATTGCCCCAACTCAGGAAGCATACTATGACCCCAATCTGGTAAGTGGCCTGAGTTTCTCTTATGTACACTTATATCAGGTGTTATTTACAACATTTTTGTAAAGCACATCAAGAAATAGAGGCAGGCTCTGTTTTCTTAAGTATCTGGAATAAAGTAGTAGTGCATATAATCCAGAATTATTTATATCTTGCTTTGGAATCTCTCCTTCCCCATGAGGATTTAAGCTGATATATTCAGATCAGTTGCATATATTCCATAAACAAACGTCCTCGACAGCATGTAGGATGGCAGCATGTATGTAGCCTGAGAGCATTCTCACTGGCCAGGGAGAACAATCCAGAGGTTAAACATCAGCCAAAAAAATAGCAATTGGATGGACCAGTGCTGGCACTTTCTCAGTCTTGACCAGTGAATGGTTTGCACATACACACTGGAAGGCCACCTGGTTGAAGTAATTGGAGGACTGTTGATTGTAAGACACACTTCAGAGAAGTTAAAAAAGGGAAAAAAATGTTCATCTTAGAATTGATGAAAGGGAATAATACAGACATTGACAAATTGTTTATAGTTAATTTTTACTAATATATGGAAAAATGCTTACAATATAAAATTCGGTGGGGAAAGTGCTTAGTATCATATGCACAGTATGATTTGAATTATGTAAATCTTCCAAATACCCTGCCCCGCCTCAACAAACATAAACATACATACCCCTAAAAGTAACAGAAATAACAATAGGTTAAATCACAGGTAAATTTTAATGTCCTTTTCTTCTATGAGTATTTTCTATAATGAGTGGCTTTTGCTTTCATAAATAAAATAAATTGTTATTTTAAAAAAATTTACAGTCTTGGCAAGTCTTCAAGTCACATATAAGTTATTATTAACTACAGATCAGATACTTGTAAAAACTATAGAGAAGAGTTATAAAATCAGTTAAAAATTTTATTCCTTAAAGAAAACTATTCATTTAGCATTCGGTGTGCCTGTCAGGAGTTGTTTCTCATGCGCATGTTCAGAGAGCCCAGTGGAAACTCACTCACAAGGAGGAGTAGTGTGATGACTGGCAGCCACTGATGAGAGAGGTGGAACAGCAGCTGTGGAGGCACGTAGACCAAGCATAAGTACTAGCAATCATGCACACACAGGTCAGGTTAGCATGCAACTTGGGCAGGTGTACAGATTTGTGCTAATTAAAAGCCAATTCTCTAAGTATTCTAAAACTTTAAACTACAAAGTCAGTGAGGTCAAGATCAATAGAGCAAGACTCATCATCAGCCACAATGGAATTCACTCTAGTAAGGTCAGCAGATGGGAACCAGCAGGTAGAGAATGAGAGTAGTTCTGGGTGTGGGTTTGCAGTAGGCCTCAGGCACAGCTGATCAGCACTCAGGCTGGTGAGAGGATAGCAGCTCCTTGGTGTGCTTCAGGGTTTCTTCTGGATGTTCGACATAATCTAGAAGGATAAAATAGTTAAAGCTTGGGAAAAAAATGTAAACTCTACAGACTGTTTTATAAATGTTAGTAATTGTTTGCTATTGTGTTCTCAATCATGAAAATGGTATATATGTCATCATGGTAGGTTATTTTTCTACCTCCGGAGAGAATAAAATCAATGTCTTAGAAATTAGATTTCACATTCTCAGTTACAAAACTTTTAAAACAATAACACTTTTCTGTTTTCTGAAAACAAAACTCTAAACTGTAACCTAGTACAGTTAACTCTGAATCAGAGAAGTCAGTGACCTAGTTTAAAGAAACAAGTGTATTTGTCAAGATAACTAAATTTTTATCTATTATTAGGGATCTGGGTGCACTATTTCTCTTTGAGAGAGAAAGTAGGCATCTGGGTGCTCCAAGCTACCCTCTCTTTTCCTTTATCTTTCTTGTGGGCACCCCTCAGTGTGGTTAAGATAGAAGAGATGGAAAGAGGAAAGACTGTGGGACTCCGAAACTGCTTCCCCTTGGCCTTTCTTCTTAACCCGATCCTCTTTGGTCTTCAGTTTTTTTGGGGGTGATTGAGTCGTATCTTAAACAGTTTACATGCATGAGCCTCAAGACTAAATTATAATCATTAGCAAAGCAGCCTTACTTAATTTTTGGCCACTCACTTGCCTCAGAATACAGTTAGCCTGTTTTATTTTTCCCATCCTTTCATTTGTGTTTCTTTCTGTCACTGTTTTTTTGTTTAGTTTTGTTTTTGTTTGTGGTGCTGGGAATTAAACCCAGGGCCTTATGCAGGCGGGGCAAGCACAAGTACCACTGAGCCATATTCCCAACATTTCCACTTCTTTCTCTTGTAAAACTTATAGTCAGACTTTACCATTACCAGATACTGGAACTTGTAGAAATGTGCTCTTCTCTAAGGAAAGATTATAAGCACCTAGAAAATAGACATTCATCTTGCCTCTTGGTGGCCAAAGTGGGAGATTATTGAGAGATTTCAATTTTCCTTTGAAATGTATACTTTTTTTTCATTTGCAGAATATTATCTTGTTTGCCAAATTTCTGCCATGAAATTTAGAATCAGAAAATATCCTTTGAGAGCCAAAAATTAAGTAAGGCTGCTTTACTAATGATTATAATTTGGTCTTGAGGCTCTTGCATGTAAGTAAACTGTTTAAGACATAAATAATTAGTTACACTGGCAGCATTAATTAACATTACTTCAGTGAACTCATCCAAGGCATAGGCTTCATTACTATAATTAACAGATTACATGCAGGATAAAGAAAGTATTTTCTTTCTTTTTTTTTTTTTTTTAAAGAGAGAGAGAATTTTATTTATTTATTTTTTTTAGTTTTTTCGGTGGACACAACATCTTTGTTTGTATGTGGTGCTGAGGATCGAACCCGGGGCGCACGCATGCCAGGCAAGCGCGCTACCGCTTGAGCCACATCTCCAGCCCCAGAAAGTATTTTCTAATTAGAGTATAAAATCACTAAGTTTGTTCGCGAGTAACATATAGACTAATTCTCTCTGATTATAGAACTATAATCACATTATACTTCTAGGTTATAGCTACAGGTTATAACTTCTAAACATCAATTTATTTTGGATTAGAAATTGTCTTTTTGAAAACATTAAGATTTTTAAACACAATATAGTGTAATGCATATTAAAATAAAAATTTATTTGCAAAAACAGCTGATTAACCAGCAGGCTTGTAACATACCAACATGATTTTTTTTAAATATTCCATGAAAATATTAAAAAATATAAGGTACCCCTTACATTTTGCACTTTAGGTGAGTGTCTGCTCACCTCATCCTATCTCATCCCTAATACAACATCTGACCTACTTGTATTTCCTCACAGCCACCGGTCACTAAAAATCTAGTAACCAATTGTAAACCAGTAACTGACAAAATCCACAAAGCATATAAGGACAAAAACAAATATAGGTGAGTAGTGCATATATTTTCTCTTTGCTTATTTTAATACTAATTTCAAAGGTCTGACATTTTCATAATTTTTTTCTATATTTTTTTCTTTTCAGCATTCTTTTAAAATTTATGTAAGATTGTTTTCTTTAGTAATACTGAAGGTCCAGTCATTCTATGGATTCTGAGTCTGCTAACGTTTTAAAAAATGCTCTTTTAATTGAAATTTTGTTTTTCATATTCACATAAATATTTAGTCTCTTTAAATATGTTTTGATAATCAGGTTTGAAATAATGGGAGAAGAAGAGATTGCTTTCAAAATGATTCGTACCAATGTTTCTCATGTGGTTGGCCAGTTGGATGACATAAGAAAAAACCCCAGGTACTGATTTTCTTTAAATTATTTTTAATTATGCAAATAAACCTGACCAAAGGGCAACAGGACCAGAGAGAAGAGATTAACTTATTTCAGTTCTGGGCAGAAAGGCATAATGACGGATTTAGTGTTTCAAGCTGGGGCTTAACTGAGAGGTGCGAGTGGCAAATTGAGATGGACACCATGTGGAGGGGTCAGCCTGGACTCCTAGGAGTGGGAAACGTGAGTTGTCAGTGAGATTGAAGGGCAGGCCTCTGGTATCCCCAGAATTATTAAAAGGGCGCCTCCAGAGCAGTTGTTTGGGTGGTTAGGTAAACAATTCAAAGTGAAGTTCAGATGAACTTCCAAGGACAAAGAAATGCTACCATAAATTTTATGTGAAAATTAATCTGATAAACTTCAACCATTCTTTGAGATGAATACATTTTGAGGTTTGCATAAGCTTTGAAATTCAGCCTGACCCTAGCTGTTGTTTTGATGAGTTTATAAAAATTAGTTGAAATTTGCCTGCCATTCATTTGTCATGACCAGTGGGCAGCATCTGAGCCAGAGTGCTACAAACCTGCTGGGTTTTTATCACATTGCCCAGAGGACCATCCTCACTGCTTCATGCATACATTTTGAAATAAAGTTCCAGAGAAACAAAAGCCATTTCAGGAGGATAGTGGAATTCCAGTGCATCTGAAGAGTGGAGGTAGTTGATGCCCTCCCACATGGGGCCAATCCTTATGGGATTGTATGTCAGCTGGCTGTGGCTTCATCTCCCAAGAAACAGGGGGGATTGACTTCAGTCTTCTCAGTAGTCCAGCATCATTCAGCTCTCTGTGGACCAGTTATCTGATAAATAACTGAGCTTTTCTTTGGGGATCAACATTTATTGACTAGTACTGACCATAACAAGTAAAGCAGTTTTTAACCATGAGGAAAACATCTGTTAAAATTTTCATTTTTTGAATTGTTTTTTTTCACTTTGGGGTGAGTGGGGAGACCTTGGCATATAAAATAAACATTTTTCATTTTAGAGTTTTGTTTTTTTTGCAGTGCTGGGAATGGAACCCAGGGCCTCTTGCATGATAGGCAGGCCCTCTACTACTGAGCTACATCCCAGCCCTACTTCTGAGTCTTTTAAATGTCTTTGAAAGTATTCAGTCTTGCCTCCTTTAAATTGGAATTTTAATTATGAATGACCAGAGATGTATAATTTCTAGACATTGTAAAATGATGATATTTATTTTAGAAATCCCCTTCTTCTTCAGGAGGGAAAGGAGAAAGATATTGGAATTTTGAGAAAATTAAAAAATATCTTCAGTGTTTATTTCGTGTCTTTAGTAACCCAAGAAACTATTGATATTTCTTCAAAATATTTCTCCCAAGCGCACCATAAGCCATACGATTAATAAATACCCAGCTGCAAGTCTCTTTGTGTATGCTGAACCTTCCTTCACTTGGGATGTACTGCTCTACTTCTTAAAAATTAATTTTAGTCTTTAGAATCCATTTTGATTGGGATATAGAATTCCCCCTATTCGTCTCTTAGACACTAGTGATTCATAGTACTGATATGAAAATTTACCGTACTTTTGTGTCTCTGTGCTAGGTTGGAAATGGTTGGGTGAAAGAAACTATAGGGTTTGGTTAAAAGACGGCAAGCCCGCCGTCCTTGACAGTGGTTGTCAGACCTAGCTCCTTCAGTGTTTCTGAACATGTAATTTTTAATTCTTTGTTTTGTTTTATTTTTATGAGGGCTCACTTTAAGACGGGCATGGAAAATCAGTGTTCAAACTGACTTGAACTTAAGGATACGCCTATGCCTTTAATAGAGTCTGGGGTAGGCAGGGTCCATCCCTCAGCTCTGCTTTGGCTTCTTAGCTCTGCTACCTCCTGCTGTGCTGGTGGCTTCATCTGTAGACCACAAGACCATGACCACACATCCAAAAACTTCAACAGTGACGAACACGCCCTCTAATAGTTAGCCTTTATCCAGTTTACCAGTTGCCTCTAGATGCCCCTGATAGCTGCCATTTGTCTCTGTGTGTTTTAAATCTAGGATACAATCAAGGCTTTTGATATAGCTCTTGAATATCCCTTGATTTAAAGGAATCCCCCAAATTAGGGAATGCATGGTTAGAGTGAACTTTCAACAAGAATTATTTTATATTTGTTCATTTCATCTAAACCAACTCATCCCATCACCACCTCTGAGTAATTTTAAGTAAATCTCATTGTATCATTTTATCAATACATTCTCTAGTATATATGTCAAACTATAAAGATTCTTTAAAATATAATTGCAATAACCATTTCACTATAAAAAATCAGTAGTGATTTCTTAAGGTCAGCCAGCTGTCAGTGTACACCTTTCTCCACTGTCATTTCATAAGTATTTATAGTGTTTTTATGTTTGTTAAAGTGGTATCAGATAAACTCATTGCAGCTAAATCTGTAGATTTTCCCTTCATTTCTTTTTTCTAAACTACTATATGTGGGGAGTGGGTATATGAAGAGATCTGATTCTGTGTTCTGTAAATTTCCTACACTGTGCTTTTCTAATCAGTTCTTAGTTGTTAAGCATGTTTTTATGTATATATTTTTTTTATTTAAGAGAGAGTGAGAGAGGAGAGAGAGTGAGAGAGAGAGAGAGAATTTTTAATATTTATTTTTTAGTTCTCGGCGGACACAACATCTTTGTTGGTATGTGGTGCTGAGGATCGAACCCAGGCTGCACGCATGCCAGACGAGCACGCTACCACCTGAGCCACATCCCCAGCCCAAAGCATGTTTTTATATACCCTGCATTTTCCATGAACAATAGTTAGATCTGAAGCCTTTATTAAAAATGTCATTAAATCTACTTCAAAAGTGTCATTGGACTAACCTTTTTTTTTTCTTTTCTTTTTTGATACTGGATATTTAATCCAGGGGTACCTTACCACTGAGCAACACCCAGCCCTCTGAGATAGGGCTAAGTTGCTGAGACTAGCCTCAAAGTTGTGATCACCCTCCCTCCCAAGTAGTGGGATTATAAGTGTTTGCCACTGTGCCCAGACCCACTATTTTAAAGGTCCCTTGACATAGTGACTTTTATCTTGAAGAGAACTTGAAAGGGGAAGCACCACTTTAATCTGCATTTTGCAGACTACAGCTAGCATATTACAGCTTGGTAATTAATTTAAAAATGTCCAACTCATAGACTCTGTAGCTATAAGGCATGGTGTCTATCTTAGTTATCTATATGACCATTTATAATATAACCATCACTTAGAAAACTTGGCTTTAGGTACTTAATAATTTTTTTCTTCGCTGCTAACAGAATATTCCAGTCATTATGCACTAATGGAAATCATTAATTTACTATTATAGCCAGAAAACAGATAATCTTTAAGATTATCTACCTCAGTTCTCTTATTTCACAGATGAGGAATTTCTGGAGGAAATTTTTACAGAACATTACTTCCCCAGAGTCATCAGAAGATGTACCAACTTGGAACATAAGTCCATTTAAAATACATTAAGAGCCAGGCATGGTGGCAACTATAATTCCAGCAATTGGAGGCTGAAGAGAAGGATCACAAGTTGGAGGTCAGCCTGTAGTGAAACCTGTCTCAAAATAAAATAGAAAGGGCTGGGGACATAGCTCAGTGGTGGAGCACTTTTCTACCTGTGCATGGCCCTGGGTCATTGTCCAATAATAAATGAATGAATGACATTTGGAATCCACATTGTTCAGTTTGTCAGGTCAGGATCAAGTTCATGATGTCCATTAACTCTGGCTCTCTATTATTTCAGGAAGTTTGTTTGCCTAAATGACAACATTGATCACAATCATAAAGATGCTCAGACAGTGAAGGCCGTTCTCAGGGACTTCTATGAATCCATGTTTCCCATACCTTCCCAATTTGAGCTGCCAAGAGAATACCGAAACCGTTTCCTTCATATGCATGAGCTGCAGGAATGGTAAAATCTCATCTTTCATATAAAAGTGTGTGTGTGCATATCTTTATCTTAAATAAGTGAAATTTCTTTTATATATTATTTGCTGTGTAATTTTTTTTGTGTGTGAAAATACAGTTATAGGGGGCTGGAGATATTGCTCAGTGGTAGAATGCTTACCTAGCAAGCACAATGTCCTGGGTTCCCCAGCACTGCAAAAAAGAAAATACAGTTATAGTTTTTATTGTGTTTAGTATTTGAAAAACATTTAATATCACTTCAAGGGACTGAAAAACTAGGTGGCTGAGTTTTTCCAGTGTAATTAGAACTTCAATTATTTATTCAACGGTTTGCTGATCAACATAGGAGTGGAAAGAAATTTTGTTTAGCACACAATGAGAGGCACATGAAGTCATTGTGGGCCAAACTGGAGGGTCTGTCTTTAGGAAAATGGAATTGGGCTAAGTCCTGAAGGCAGTCTCAGATAATGGTGGGAAGGTGTCTACAAGCCAAAGGTTAAAGAAGAAAATGATGAGGGTGGTGTGGCTGCTAGGCTGACTCAGATGGATTCATATGCTGGAAATGGTGGGACAGAAACCTGGAGAAGAATTAGGAGCCCATTTGATTAAGTGTTTAGAAATTATCTGATAGAGTTGTGAAGGGATGAAAACCAGGGAAGACAAGCATCAATGACAGTTTTTTTCTTTTTTTTCCAATTGAAATGAAAGTCATGTAACCCACACCTCACCATTTCTAAGAGCATGATTCAGTAGCATTTAGGTCATGTATAATATTGTATAACATCTCCCTAGTTTTAAAACTTTTTCATTACTCCCAAAGAATTCCCCATGCCCATCAAGCAGTTCCTCCCCATTGCCTTTACTCTCAGCCCCCGGTAACTCTTAGTCTGCCTTTTCTCTAAGTATGGGTTTGCCAGCTCTGGATGGTTTTTTTTGTAGAATGAGGCTGGAACTAGGGAAGGCCTGATTCAGGAAATCATTGTTTTCAGAGCTTCCAGTGGAAATTATGATCCAGGATAGACTGTTAATAGAGAGTCCAGAGAGTAGGCGACAATCAAGAAAGAAAATGCGGGAGTGTTAGAGGGCCTGAGGAGAAAAGGCAGCCATCAAAAAAGATACTTGAAGCACTCCTAACTGTCTAGGGAAAAGTGCAAGTCACACTGATGTGGGCGTTGTTTTTGCTTTCTTCTATGCTTGGTTTTTCGGTCTTATTTTTCACTAGTTATCTGCTGTGGGAATCATCATTACCTATATTGAGTGCTAAGTAACAACACTGTTCTGAAAGCTTTCTGTCCATGTTTTCACTTAACTTTTCCATCAACTGTGTCTTTGTAACTCTTGTCCTCAAGGGATCTGGAGCATGGAGCTAGGATATGGCCTACACAAGGCATCTTGGCTTATGACTAGGGTGCCCATGTGGGAACCTGGGCAGCCCACTTCCCAGAGCCTGGCCCAGCACCTGCCAGGCCTTGTTCCCTCATATCAATACCACAGTTTGACCACGTCAGAGTAGCACATGCACTGAAGTACTTGCTGTGTACTAGATACAGCAATGAAAGGTACTGTTGAGTGAGGCTCAACTGAAATAGCTGGCAACTTGCAGGTCCTGCCTGACTATTCATCGTCTGCACATCCCATTGTATTCCAAAGTCACTTTGTACATTTCCTTCTCTTTTATCTTTTATTCTCTTACACTACCAACATTTAAATAGAAGGATAATTTTATCTTTTAATTTAGGAAGATTTTTGACCCTTTGCCTGCCTCCCTGTGCCAAGCACTTAGAATATAAAGACAAAAGGCATAGAGCTTGGAGGTCCCCACAGTCTATCCAGGGATCCAGACACCAGGAACGTGGCTGACTTAGTGTACTGAGTGTGGCTGTGGGGTTCACTGCTGTTGGTGTATGAAGGAGGGAACAGCTGATTGTGCTGGGGGAAGGTAACATTTTTTACCTGGTTTTGAATTATCCAAATGACTTTTCCAGGTAGGGAAAAGCACTTCTAGTAGAAGAAACGGCATATGTTAAGGGAAAAGAGGAATTTTTGGAAACCCATATCTGATATTAGATCTTTTTCTTTGTTAGAGTTAGGATAAACGGAACAGTTGGCAGGTGCACTGCTGATATAGGCACATTTTTATTTTTCATAAGGAGTTGTTACTGAATCACGGATCTTGTTCCCCAGAGGTGACAAGGAATAGCTTCTCATTATTTTCATCTTTAGCTCAGTGGAGGAAGCTCTTTAGATGGTCCTAAGTGTTAACTCTCTAAATCTAGGCTGTGACTAAATTTACCTTCAGGGGCCCAACTGAATCCGGAAATTGTGAGCCAAAGAGTCCTCTGAGACGACTCTTTGATTCTGTGTTGTGCCAGTAACACAAGTCAAGTGTGGATGTTCTTGTCATCCTCTGATTTAGCGCACTGGTTGCTCATCCCATTCACTTCTGTGTCATCCCTCACTCTGACCCACCAACCCAACTCTTCTTTCTGGAAACAGTTGTCCCTTTTCTCTTTCCTTTCATGAGTCTCCTGTCATTTTTCATTCTATTCCCACAAAATGCCTGACTCCTTTCTGGGGTCAGCACTTCTGCACTGTACAGCAATCTCTGATGTTTGCCTCTCCTGCTTGACCATGGATCCTTTTTAGGGATACAGGTAGTATCTTGCTGGTTTCTGGTTCCTTCCCAGCACACAGTAGGTTCTCAGTGATGATTGATTGCTGGGGCAACACATTAGCTGCCTTATAGCCGGTGCTTCTTAGCTCTTTAAAGAACACATGGATTCTGAATGGCACTGTTGACACTGGAGTTGACTGAGCTGGTTGTGATCCTGGTAGCAGATGTAGGAAAGGAGGAAAAAGAACTGTGGAGGGGAGAGTGTGAGACTTAAGGTAGAGTCTTCCACTCCAACAACAGTGGTAAATGAGAACCTGAAACTCAGAACAGAGGCCTGAGGATAGTTATTAGCTTATCTTCCAAACCTTATGTTAAACATTTTAAATTATTTTTCATAACAAATTATTCATTATTTCCAAATTATAGGTGAGAAATCTGTGTTGTGCTGCTTGTCTTTGTCCCAACATTCTGTTATCTCTGGGACCACTTGATTCTATCTTCAGAATGTCCCTTCCACTGCTATTTCTTTGAATGTCTCTTCTCACAGACCAGGGCCAGCCTTTCCTTCTTTTTTCATGCCTGGACTAACACTGGACTGTGTGGCTTGGTTATCCACTTATCCTTTAAGTGGTGACCAGTTTTATTCCAGTTGTGTCACACGACTCTGTCCCCTGCCATCCCATCCACTTTCCCACTGGTTTTATATACAGACCCTACTGCAGGGTTTCCCAGAGTGGCCAGCTCCTATCCACCCTCCTTCCTGCAGCTCAGCTGGCCTCCAGGCCTCAGCTGCAACTCTGCTCTCTGCCAGACTCTTCCCCTGTCCCCTCCAAAGCTGAAGGAAATGTACTATCTCAGCGGAGCGGTCCTCCTTTCTCTTGAGTTTTTCCTCAAGATTTTGCTTTTGCTAATGTGTCTCTTTGTCTATCTGTTGTGGCCATAATGGCTCTTAAGGTTTCTAAATATTTTTTCTCCTTCATATTGTTCCTCTCTCTGTATCTCAGAAATTTTTTTAACAAGTGATGAAGTGAATATGAACAAATAAAAGTGAGTTAAAGAGTGATTTTGTTTAAATACCACAATTTTCTTTTGAAGTCTTCTCTCCTGCCTGGATAATTTCTAGTAATCTAGTACAGTGTTTTATACCACAGTAACTAATCTGAACTCATGTTGGAACTATATGTTGTGTTAACATTTTTAGCCTTGCCTGTAAACAATGTTTTTGCTTTTCACAGCATTGTTTTGTAAAAATAGTATATAAATTACTTTTAACTAATGACAGCGAAGCCATATACAGAAGTATATATTTTCTTTCTTCCGTCTGAACAGGAGGGCATATCGAGATAAGTTGAAGTTTTGGACCCATTGTGTACTAGCTACTTTGATTATATTTACTGTGTTCTCGTTTTTTGCTGAACAGGTAAGTTTTATATATTTTACATAGGTGTTAGTATTTCTTGGTACATTAATATCTGAGTCTTCTAGAAAATAATATAAATTCACAACTAGAACATTTTAAATTCTGTTAGCTTATAGCACATATGCCAATATGTGAAATATATTTTATAACATTTAGGCAGTCAGTATAAGAGATTTTTATTCATATATCTTCTAAATCCTTTACCTGTCTTCTTCTTGCCTGACTCTTAGTGGATTAACTCGTACACTTCGAGCTAAAACTGAAAAACTACTTAATTTTAACCCAAAACCTGCCTAGAATCCTTGTCTGATGCTAGTTTTTATGGGTCTCTGATTTTCTTTCTTTCTCTTTTAACTTTCCTGAAACAGCCTCAGCATCTTCTCTTCAGATACCCCCTGGGTGTGTGTGCCCTGCACACACAGGTAGTACACCTCCCACTTCAGTGAATTCCTGGGTTCCCCTATCCCCGCCCCCTCTGCTGTTTTAGTCCCTTACCATTAGGCTCGCCTCTGCGCCCACTCTCAGCTTCCTTGATGTGAAGGTCCTGAAGACATAGGGATGAAAAGAGAGGGATAAGAGAATCCTCATTAGGCTGCAGGTATGAAATGCCCTGAAGAAAAAAGATTGAAGGAGGAGAATGGCAACTGAGGTGACCTAACTTGTGTGGGGCCAACAGCCCCACCTCAGCCTCTGGTCAAGGTGACTATTGAGTGACCTTTTCTAGTTGTCATTCAAAGGAGATGTACACCAAGTTTACTTGCACTAAGAGAAAAGAGGTGCCTAAAAATTGAGAGCTTTAGAATAAACACTGAGCTTCCTGCCACTGGTGGAAGGAAACTCAGAAAATGGAGATCGGACAGGTAAGTAGGATGGCAATTTAATACTTACTCATCTTCAGGTTCGCATAGTTTGTTCCTGATATTTTTGTTGCCATTGTTCCTGGCAGGTAAAAATCTTACCAAAAAAAAAAAAAAAAAAAACCTCAGAGAGACTACTTACTTTTAGAATAGGAGTCCATTGAGAGATTTATGAGTCTAAACTGTCCAAGGATAGGAAAAAAGAGGGAGCTGGGCTGAAAGGAGCCACTGGGGGGCAGTGGAAGAAAACAGGAAGGTCAGTCTTTCCTGGGTCCTTTATAGGAGCAGAAAACAATGAACAGAATGAAAGAGGTAGGAGGGAGAAAGGAAAGGAAAGCCTCTAGTAAACCTGCTTTCCAGCTACTTGAATCAAGCTCTTGTTCCCTGCCTTTCTACCACCAAGAGGAACAAACCAGTCGATACCACCTCTTCCTCTGCTCAAATCCCATGCATCAACTAAACCACAGTGGTACATGCCCCTGCTCCAGCCTCCCAAGGAAGCAGTAACTGGATCTGCTTGGCAGGAGAGAAGGAGGCAAAGCACACAAGAGGGATCCCAAATGGAAACCATAAGAACATGGTTTGCCCCCCACCCCCCGCATAAGGGCTAGGTTTTATTTTTAATTTTTATTTTAATTTAGTTTTATTTTTCATTGATTCTTTTTAGTTATACACGACAGTAGAATTCACTTTGATATAATTATACAAGCATGGAATATATCCTATTCTAATTAGGAACCCATTCTTGTGGATGATCATTGAAACTTTTATAGTGTTGGTGACATTTTTTATTTCAATGATAGCATGGGTAACTGTGTTCATAAGGAAAAATGTATTATTTATCCCAATTCTGAGCTACTAATTTACAAAAGAATTTTTATATTACAATCCTTTCATAAATTAGGTACTTTATTTTCAAATGATTTTTGCTAAGTATAGAAAAAACTGTCAGTAGGGTTTTTAATATAGGTGTATTTTTTAAATTCTGCCTTACAACTGCAGTCATTAAAACCCAGAGAGTGTCTTACTGGTTACCTAGAGTCCATTCCCTTTGGTGGAAAGACTTGACAAACAGAAATCTTGAAAATAAATGTCTGGTAATAGGTATACAAAAATCTATAGTTATGGGTTTTAGAAAAATGAAGTGTGGGCCCAAATAATTTTAATCCTCTTGGGTCTGTTTCTGGACATATACCTAGGCATATTGATCCTACAAAATTAAAATTTGCTTTTGTTTCAGGGAGGAATGAGGAAACTTGTTTTTTGACTTTTTTACATATAAGACTATGGAAATGATTAAGGACAAATGTCTCAGAAAGTTGGATGCACTCACACTCATTCATCAGTATGGAAAATTGAAATTTATTTTCTGTCTTCCCTTGTTTAGTTAATTGCTCTTAAGCGGAAGGTGTTTCCCAGGAGGAGGATAAACAAAGAAGCCAGTCCCGATCGAATCAGGGTCTAGAAGATCTTCATTTGAATATCACCTACCTCAGAATTTACTGAGCATTTTGAAACTCAGCATCACTGAAGTGTCTTTGTGATGTGATATGCAGCCAGCATGGCCCAAAGAAGGGAAAATATTCAGAACCATACTGTGCTGTGGCATGAATATAGCCCACTGCCCAGGAATTATTTAATCAATTCCAAAAACTTAGATCTGGAACAGCTCTGAACTGATTTTATTTCTAAAGCATTTGCTCATGGACCTGTCATCTTTTTATGAAAACCCTCACGGATACGCTGCTAATTTCCATCTGTAACCATTGCAAGCTAAGGGAGAAGCCCAGGCCAGCTTGGGAGCAATTGCTGAGAGACCCCCGTCTTTTCATTCCAAAGCCTTTTTCTATAGTTTTGCACTTTTGTTTTTCTTTTTTCCATTTCTCATTTTTCAGATAAGTAGCTACTAAGCTAACTAGTTATTCTTGCTTCTGAAAAAAGTGAATCAAGATGTCTAAACGTGATTTTATAGATGCTATTTAATAATGTAGTTAATATCATCTCTTATTGGCAATATGCAAATTATTGATTTTATTAATGTGTAAAGTGGTCTTAAACCACTAATAACTACTGAAGAGCTCAGTGACTGACATTGGAAATACTTTGTGCTTGTTTACTTTAGTCCCTATGAATACTGTAATTTTGTGTGCAGGCCTAATTACAAAGGGCTAGAGTTAAGTAGCAGTGCTACTTACCATATGTAATTATGTATTGGAAATGTACATATTCAAACAAAAGTGCCTCATTTTAGAAATGAGTAGTTCTGATGGCACAGGCACAGTACCTTGGTGTCTAGTTTAATACTCATCAGTATATTCCAGTAGCTCTCTTTCTCTGAATTGGTTTTGTATAAAGCAAGGGTCAACAAACTTTTTCTGTAGAAGGCCAGATAGTAAATAATTTCAGGACACAAATGTCTCTATCACATATTGTTCGTCATTGTTTTTATTTTTTTTAAGCAGTCCTTTAAAACTGTAAACCCTGTGTTTAGCTTGCAGCTGTACATTACAGGCCATAGGCCAACATTGGCTAACCATTGAGGATTAGTATTTTTTATGTCTGGGGTAAACCCTGAAGTTTAGCCATGTTTTGTTATATCATTATACATTGGATTTAGGGAAACCTGATTCCATGAGTCCTGTTTGAAATTTGACAGGTATTTTAGATCATGATCTCAACAGTATTCTTCCACAGTGGCACACATTTTGTAAAAAGAACTTGAAATGTAAATACTGTGTTTGTGCTGTAAGCATTATGTATTTCAACAACTGAAGTCTCCTAAAAAGTTATATTTGTCTGATGCTTTGATTTTTAAACCTTTGGGGATTTATTTTTAATCCATATTCAACAAATTACTTGAGTGCCTACATGGTGTGTCAGACTCTGTACTGAATACTACTGAAATTAAGTGAAAAGTAGGGTGAAGACAGGAATATTTTAACACACTGGAGAATATTGTTTTATAAGGAGAAAAGAGGTTCAAAAGGAACTTATCATATGGTCAAATTTTAGGAGACTATCTGGGTTTCATTGTAAAAGCAAAGAATTTATTCTTGAAGTTATAGAGAAATGAATATTTGGGTATGATGGAGATTTATGCAGTTAGATGAACATAGACCCCACCTAACTAGGGGTTTGACAATGGGATAGATAATAGAACCATAGAATATTCATGGGATCATTCATCTAATGATTCAGCAGACTATTAGCACAAATGAACTTCGGAAGCTGATGAGTAGTCTGTGTCCTTAAAAATTTTTAAGGTATCAGAACCATTAGTTCAAATGAAATTCTATAGAAAGCCAACGTGTCTTAGGCTGTTTGTGTTACTATAACAAAATACATGAGACTGGGTAATTTATGAAGAACAGAAACTTATTTTCTTATAGTTTTGGAGGCTGGGAAGTCTAAGATCAAGGTGCCAGCAGGTTTAGTTGGATGAGGGGTAGTCTGCTTCCAAGATGACACCTTGGAATGCTGTATTCTCCTGAGGAGGAAGAACACCATGCTCTCACATGGCAGAAGGTGGAAGGACTAAAGGATGAACTCTCTATGGCAAACCCATTTATAAGGGCATCTCATCCCATGCATGAGGTCTTATCACTTCCCCTAAGTATTACCTGCCTCTTAATACTGTTATTTTAGTGGTTAAGTGATTAAGTTTGAACTTGAATTCTAGAGGAAATAAAAACATTCAAATCATTGTGTTCTATGATACAGAAGAAGGAAAGCTGCTGTGCTATCTGAATACCCTTGTGCCTCCAAACCCCAGATCCCCACAGGCAGAATTTCAAAACCACTGAACCAAGCCTTTTTTTTTTTTTTTTTTTTTTAAATCAAGGGCAGTAAGG